AAAGTTAGTCTAAGTCGGGGTGGGTCTTCAAACTTGACAGCTTTAAGACTTGTGGACTTCAATTCCCAGAATTCCTCCTCTGCTCATGTTAGCTCAAGAATTCTGGGAGTTGAAGTCCACAAGTCTTGCCAAGTTTGAAGACCCTTGGTCTAAGACTAGTCATTGACAGATTCAGATTTGCTAGGTATTTAGAGTGCCAGTTGGCCAGCAATGTTTGTGCTTCTCCAACTTCAAAGCATGAACTTGGTGTGGGCAACTGGGGGCCCTAGAGTCAGATACAACTCCCAAAAGTGCATTTTTGCAGCCCATGATTATTGAAAACTGTAGCATAATCCTCCAAATAGAGATGCCAAAGCAGAAACATTGGTGTTTTATCTTCGCCTGAAGTCTTCATGCAGCTGGATGAATTGCCTTTTTTTTGTAGGTGGAGATAGGAACAATATACTTCGTGTGAGGTTCATGATGTCCTCGCCTCTATCAGTAGCTGCCTTGAAAGTTCTGTTGCAATGGAATTATAAGATAAAAATGCAGAAAGTGGGCAAGACTTTGTTGTTGCAAAAGACTTATCCAAAGATCACCCAATATTTAGTGAGTTTATTAGCTCCCTCAGTACAAATTAACAAGGTTCCATATTGTCAAGGTTTGTGGGAACAATTATTGTGACAGCCAGGGGAGATTTTTGTTACTTTGGATAGTGAGATGGGCGGCGTATAAATTAAATAAATGCCTGATCAACCAGAAATTCTTAAGTCATTCTTCATTGTTGATAAGGTTCGAACGCCATCGCTCTGCTAAACAAATAATTCCCTCAGCACAAGTCTGCATTACTATTACTATTAATCTTTCCACCCTTCCTTTCACCCATTTCCTCCCACTTATGACTGTGTGACTATAACCTTCAGGTGTTGCACCCTTTTCTTGACTCTTGACGAATGTATCTTTTTTTATGTACATTGCGAGCATTTGCACCAAGACAAATTCCTTGTGTGTCCAATCACATTTGGCCAATAAAGAATTCTATTCTATTCTAATTTGTATTCTATTCTATTCTCTATCTCTGTGATGGTGAACCTATGGCACACGTGCCACAGGTAGCACGCAGAGCTATTTGTGCCGGCACACAGGCAAACCTACCTCACTGCACATGCACGCGCCTCACAGCTGATTTTCATCTGGTTTGAGGCCTTTTTCAGCCTCCCAGGCTTGAGGAAAGCCTCTGCAGCCTGAAAAATAGGCCCGTTTTATCACTTCCTTCATCAGCTGGGATGCGCAGTGCAGGAAAGGGCGGCAAGGGATAACGCAGGGGGTGCGTGCATTGCCTTCTGGGTGCTGGCATGTAAGTGCAAGTGCACACACAATTTTTGGCACAGGAGCCCAAAAAGGTTAGCCACCACTGCTCTAACCTGTTCCATCCCATCCCATTCTATTTAAGTTCTATTCCTATATCCTTCTATTCTATTCTATTGTACCCTATGACTATTATTGTGTTGTACCTTGTGATTGTTGACTCTTGACGAGTGTATCTTTTCTTTTATGTTCTATTCTATTTTTTTATTGGATGCTACAGACATAAAACAGGCAGTCCTACTTGTGCTCTAGGGAGTATGTATGGCCACATCTATAAACTATACATACCTTTTATTCATGAGCAAATATTGTAAAATGTACTGTACTAGAAGCGGAACTGCAAAGTTCTGATGAATTTCAGGAAAATTTGTACAGGTAGCCCTTGACTTACACCGTTCAAAGTTACACCTGCACTGAAAATGTGACTTATGGCCAGTTTTCACACTTATGACTACGGTAGCATCCCCACAGAAAGTGATCGAAATTCAGAAGCTTGGCAATTGACTCATATTTATGATTGTTGCAGTGTCCCAGGGTCACACTATCCCCTTTTGCAACTTTCTGACAAGCAATGTCAATGAGGAGGCCAGATTCACTTAACAACAATTTGACTAATTTAACAACTATAGGGATTCACTTAATTGTGGCAAGAAGGGTTGTAAAATGGGGCAAACTCACTTAACAAATGTTTCACTTATCAACTTAAATTTTGGGCTCAATTGTCGTAAGTTAAGGACTAGCTGTTTCACTAAGACACCGTAATTCCTCACAGCAGAGAAAAACAAAATGGCCCACTTCTTCGTGTCATACGAAGCCATAATGAGGTTTGATTGAGCTTGGTATGTTAAGCTACAATGAATGCACTAGAAAAAGTTGAAAGGATCATGTACCTCGGTTCTAATTTACATGAAAGCTGGGACATGACCACTGAAGTAAAGACAAGGATAGAGGAAAGCTAGAACAGCATTCTTCAAAATGGAAAAGGTCTTCTGCAGTCACGACATAAACTTAAGATTGAAAATCAGGTTTGTCAGATGCTACATCTTTTCTCTCCTGCTCTACGGAGTGGAGAGTTGGTCTCTGACAGAAAGCCCCTTGAAGAGACTAGAAGCATTTGAAATGTGGATTTGATGTTACATTATAAGTTGGGTTGACAAAATCAGAAATGAGGGGGTGATAAGCCACCTGGAAAGCCCAGGGAAATAATCAAAACCATAAAAAAGCAAAAGTTAGAATATGTGATGTGACACCCAGAAAAATACAGCATCCTTCACTTAACCCTCCAGGGAAAGATTGAAGGCAAATGAAGTCCAAGCAGAAGAACATGGCTTCAAAATCTAAGGGACTGGTTTGGACAAAACTCAACAGCATTTTTTCGTGCGGCTGTTGATAAAAATAGGATTGGCAACATGATCGCCAATGTCCGATGGCGGATATGGCACAAGACTGTTAAGCTGCCCACAGATTTTGGAGACACAGCATACTGCAACAGTTAAAGTGTTGGCTGGCATTGGGGATCCTTTCTCACTTATGGAAATTTTGTGAGTGACTTTGGACCTGTCATACTCTTTCATCTCAACTGGCTTTACATGGTTGCTGGTAGGTACAACTGGATGACCTTATGAGGGCAATCCCTAATTTATAACAATTGGGACCAGAATTTCCATTGCTAAGTAAGGCAGTATCACACGATTTCACGACCTGTTTTGCTGAAGCAAGGGTCTTCAAACTGGGCACAAATTTAAGACTTGTGGACTTCAACTCCCAGAATTCCTGAGCTAACTTGACTGGAGGAGGAATTCTGGGAGTTGAAGTCCACAAGTCTTAAAGCTGTCAAGTTTGAAGACCCCTGTGCTAAAGAAATCACTTGGCTTGTTAAGTGAATCATATGGTTATTCTATGAATCCAGCTTCTCCCCCCCACCTTTTTTTTTGGTAAAAAGTCAGCTGAGAAAGTCACAAACAATCATCACATGACCCCAGGTTACTGCAACCATACATGCTGGTTGCCAAGTGCCCAAATTCTGACCAGATCACTGGATATAATGCTATGATTTTAAATGCGAGTACCCATTGTAACTTTTTTTGGTGGCCACTGCAACTTCAAGCAGGTGCTAAACAGATGGTTGTAAGTTGAGAACCCCCTAAAACTTATTTTTAAAAATCTTACAGTATATTCCAAAAGAAAAATGTTAATTCTATCATACCACTCGGTTGAAAGGCAATAGCTTCAAACTAATTGGATTATTATTTTATCATTATTTTTCATTATTCATCACATCCCTTATGTTCTATGCTTACTGGACCACGGATCTTATACAATCACAATTTCACGTCTCTTTTCTTTGGCCTACTCTGGGAATCCTTTTGGCTAGTAAGTAGGAAGACAGCAGCTTCAAGTACATGCAAAAACCTGATTGCTCAAACTTAAGCTGGCATGGAGACTGAAACTTCATTATGAATGGCCCAGCTGCGATTTATTTGCCCACCTTGTAATCAGGCCAACATGACTGCGAAGGAGTTGAGGGGCACCAGATCTCAAAAGCCAGATGCCTTTTTCAATCTCTTCTTTCCAAAATCCCATTAGTTGTTCCTGCTCTTTGGAACATCTTGCCACAGAAGATAAGATATCCCCCTCTTTTAGCCTTCAGGAAAGGCCTTAAAATCTGGTTATGCTAACTGGCATGGAGTCCTGAAGGAGAGAAGCTGTTGGCTGGAGGTTACCGGTACTAACAGTGTGAAGACATGCCACTTCTTCACTCCAAGCCACTGTTTTTTTTAACTTGTTTTAATTTTTGCAATTTTAATCTGTTTTTACATTTATAATTGTGAAGGCTTATTTATCTTGAGGTAGTAAGCGGCTCAGAGTCACCTGAACTGCGAGATGGGCAGCGAATAAATTTGAGAAATACACATTTTAAGAAGTGGCAAAAGGAAGACAAATGGGACAGTAATGTGGCACAGTTTTTCTTCCTCCAATGCTCTGAATTTATTGATTGCAGATTTTGAAATGGGGACACAGCAGTTAACAGAAACATGTAAAGTTGAGATAAAACGTACATCAAAGAGTGCTGCCAGAGCTGGGAATCCAAAATCTCCTATGTTCCTTCTACATTTTTTTTCCTAATTGTTTTGGTGGCTCAAAGGCAGTTTACCTTTCAACTGTCCGATGTCAGTAAAAACATTTATAGGAAAGCTAAGCACAATTTGGCCCAAATACTTGCAGACGAGGAAATATCAAGAGTAATAGCAATACATTCGGCTTTCTTCAATGTCAGTTCCCAGCTCCTTTGGAGGGAATAAAGATGTCAAGTATTTTTCTGAACCAACCATTTAGCCTAACCCCCATACATAGATCTTGAAAAGCAAGCTAATTAGCCGTAAAATACAGAAACCGTTCTCATGAGCCATGATGGAACTTAAATAGTAGTCATCTTTTAGGAAAGTACTGAATGCTACTAAGTACTGAATGCTTAGTACTAAGAGTACTAAAATACTCATTGGACTATTTATAAGACCCCAAGGTAGTGGGTCAAAACTGGACTAGAATTGTCCTTTTTTCGCAGGATTTTCTTTATATTTAAAAACCATTTTATTTGCCTGCAACTTACGTTTGTAGTGGCAACAGCAAAGTCTGCTTCCTAATGTTTATTTTCCCCAAATCCGAAATCAAATGCTGAATCCAGCTCCTACAGTTTTCTTTATATTTTTCTGAGAGACCAGGGCTACGAAGTGTTGTTACAGATCATATGACCTTGAAGTACACCCCACAGCGAGTTTCCACTGGCAAGCAATGATTTCAAATATATTAAAAGAAGACATGAGAGTGAAACCAGATTGAGACAATCAGAGGGGAAGACATTTCTGGAATCAGTAGACTGGAATTTAAAGTTCAAAGCAATTTCATTTGAAAACAACAACATCTGTATGTATTTTTGGGACAGAGACATGAAATTATGAGAAGGGAACTGCCTAAGGTTGGATAGACTTTGTCCATCAAGAAACTTTTGATTAGGGCTTGCATCGCTGAACAAAGCGAGGATATAGGCATACATCTCGGATATGGTGTCTGTTCAGAATCCAGGTAAGGAATCGCTCCAGGCCTAATCCGTAACCACCATGAGGACATGTGCCATATTTACGCTGCAAAGCCAAAAATGAGACAGGCGTCAATTAATGCCTAATGATCAAACCACCTTGCAACCCCAAACCATGACTTAATAGTGTACCTTTACATGTCGTGGTAAGACAATGTAATTTGCCTGGGGTTTGCTTATAATGCCATCCCTCCTCCACTGCTAAGCCATGAAGTTGTGCAAATCAGACACCTGAGATTATTTAACACCTCATAGCTGGGGACAACTTAGCCTTCGGTACTTATATGGGTATTCCCATTCTATTTCTAAATAATTCAGGGTTACGATGAACGAATCAAATTCCATTGTCACACAAGCCTGTTGTGGGTTAGTCTAAAAAAATAAAAAAAAACTGTAACGCCATTCCCCAGTTGATATCAACAAGGGAAGTTTGTGCTAAAGAGCAGGGGCTGGAGAATGGCTGCCATTCTGAAGTCTTGCTCCAATTTGGAGACACTATATGGATTAGTAGTTCAGCACTAAGAAAACCTGTTAGCCATGAAATCCAGCTGGGTGACTCTGAGCCACTCACTCTCTTAGTCCAAACTACCTCACACAGGGTTGTTGTTTTGGCAAAAATAGGAGGAAGAAGGGGTATAAGGTAAGTTTGCTGCCTTGAATTATTTATAAAGTATTAAAGGCAGGATGAAAATTGGATGGATAGACAGACAGACAGACAGACAAGCTGTCTGCTCATACAGACCCACTGCATATATTCCAATTGTCAGTTGTTATTCCATATATATTGCCCCCTAGATAACAACTGACAATGTAAAATGAATATCTTCTCCCTGATTTGCAGGGAGAAAACAGATGCATGAAAACTCATCAGCAGAAACAGAGATTATAGACTTTTTCCCCATAGCCAATTCCTCCTCTTGCCAAAACATCTTCAATCTCTTCCCCCTTTGGAATAAGAAGCAGCTATCTAACAATCAGACTATAATATCACATTCAACAGGTAAGGGGTGGAACCTAGGACAAATGAAAAAGAGTTTGGAAGTTTGAGATAAGAAGCACATTATGGTACTTTTTTCATGCTGAAGAATGAATTTCGCTTTAAAGAGTAATACTTTGCCCTGCAAAACATGCTTAAAACCTTCTGAATGTTCATTTTATTGAATTAACATTCAGTGATTATTGATAGGATTTACTCCCATGTATTTAATGATAGGCATTAAATAGATTGATAATTCTATTATGTTACCAATTTGGCAAGTTTTTCTATAACTGTTCCAAAAGCTTTCTGGGGCCTTTTTTTAGCATTTTCTACATTAATTGGTCCGCCAAAGTCTGCTGGATTTGATTTGATTTTTGGTTTGCCTTCCAAGAATACTGTGTTCCTGCCACATGGTAAATGAATGACAAGACAGGCCACCAATTCATAACACATAATACGTACCTGGTCTGTATACCAATAATAAGGGGTGGGATCAATTCCTTCCCTCTTGTAACCTTCTAGTAGCTCCTCACTGTCCCAAATACGCATGGAGCCTCCCACAATTTCACCAACATTAGGCATCAACACATCAACCTATATAAATCAAGACAAAAAGGCAACTGGGAGTCAGAAATGCATATGACTTAACTTGGTTTAGAACTGCAACTCCTAGCCCACAACAATTATTGTATAATAATTAACCTTATTGTAGGTCACTCAGCAGAGTTGCGAAGCCAAACAGAAGGTGCTGGGTTTGTAACATGTATGGCCAAAAGATTAAAGATGAGCAACACAAGGATTCAGAAAAAATTATCCTCTTCCCCATCCCCTCTCAAATAACCAGATGGGAATGTAGGTGGACTCTGCATAATATATGTCAGTCAAATATTATAAACAGAGGTCTCCTGTGAGCTGTGGATTTGAGTGACATCTTGTGGCCAATGACTTGTAAAACAGCCTCTCAGGAAGAACATTCCAAACTGTGTGCTGGTGCCCAGAATTTTTTGCAGTCTGAAAGGAGTCTTGGAGAGTAAAACTTAATGCCTTAGAATCACTCTTTCCAATTTAGGAGAGATGCACTTCAATGCTGGAATGTTCTTTTTACCCTTTGCGCTACAAGTTATGGTTACAAATATGTGTAGAACATTCCTCCCCGACCACAATTTGGCTTTCAGCATGGATTTAGACAGCACACTAGACCAATCACATTATGGTTTAACCAGCCACTCACTGACTTAGGATCTATCTACCGCAGGGGTGTCAAACTTGTGTGGTCACGTTGCCATCATGTGACATATTGCGACTTTTCCCCTTTGCTAAAATGGGTGGGCGTGTCCAGTATGTGACGCATCCGGCCCATGAGTTTGATACCCGTGATCTACTGTAACATTTTACCCATGACTAGCTAAGATTCTACAGCATGGGTGTGAAATGGTGCCGCAGCACGTTGATATCGTGTGATGTTTCATGATATTTTTTCCCTTCGCGGAGCTGAGGTGGGCGTGGCCTGCACATGACACATCCGGCCCCCGGGCTGCCAGTTGGACACCACTGTTCTACAGCATACCATTTTGGGTGTCATCCGTTTTGAACATATATAGTCTTCCTTTTCCAAATGTACTAATTCTTTATAGCAGGGGTGTCAAACTCAAGGCCCGTGGGCTGAATCCATTTTGGGGCGGGGTGCTTAAATCCGGCCCGTGAGGCCGGCCTGGAAATATCAAGGGGTTGGTACCTCTGGCGGTTCAAACGGGCTGCATGCGGGCTGCCCCACGCCTTGTTTTCTCCCTCCATGGCCTCCTGCGGCACCCTGCCAGCTGAAAACGGGCCCAAAACAGCCTGAAAAACGGACTGAAAAATGGTCTGAAAATAGCAAAAAAATGGGCCTAAAAACAGGTCCAAAAATGGCCCCAAAATGGGCTGAAAGACTGAAAACTGAAAAATGGGCTGAAAACCAAAAAATTGACCAAAAAATGGCTGAAAAACATCCTGAAAATGGGCCACATGGCCCATTTTTGGCCAGCAGTGTGCTGCAGGAGGCATCCACCCTACCCTCCACCCCACCAGCCTGCAGGAGAACAATGCAATCCAGTTTGACACCCCTGCTTTATAGCATAGGAAGCCAAACAGTACCTACAATCTGAAGTTACACAGCCAAGGAGGCTCTATAGAGATTCTCAATCATCCAGATCATGATTGTCCCAAAGGTACTTTTCTAAAGGACAACTGGACTTCCCTTTTTTTCCCCCTTGAAAACATTTCACTTCTCATCCAAGAACTAAAGAATGGATGGAGAGATGAGAAGTGAACCGTTTCCAAAGGAAAAAAAAAAACCCGAGAAACTCCAGTTGCCTTTTTGAAAAGCCCCTCTGGTACAGACCAGGGGAATTCTGCCTGCAAATGGATGAGATCTCCTCTCCCAAAAGCTGCCAGAAATCAAGAGACACCAGGGGAGGCAGAGGTGCAAAACGACAGCACAGCATTCTAAACGGTGCAAATACTCAGGAATCAAGTGTTGCTTTTTTTGTTTTTCAAAATCCTGTTTTGAATAGGTTTAAAGACCTTGCTATAACCAGGTGGGGAATTTAGACTCCACATTAGGAAGAGGAGTAAGCCCCCCCCCCCCCCCCCCCCGCCATCTTGCATGCAATACACAAAGGGGAACACAAACTGACAGATTCAGTAAGACGGGTGTCCTCGGGGCAGCGCTGCATGTAGAAGGATTTAATCTCAGCAGGAAATCGACAAAGCAAGATTGGTTCGTTAATAGCATCGGTCATCTGTCTCTCTGGAGCTTCTGGGATATCCTGTGGTTGAAAAAAAGCAGCAGTTAATTTCTCCTTCTGCCTAAAACTGTTCCACTTCCACTGATTAAGCCCCCTTCTATCTCTGGAGTCACTTTTTTTTTTTTAAACTAGCCTAAAGCCTTGTTTAGCTTACTGGTATTTTAGCAGCCAATTTTGGGGATCAACCAGTGGTCAGATCAAAGCAGGGGTTCTTCAAACTCGAATTTTAAGACTTGTGGACTTCAACTCCCAGAATTCTTCCTCCAGTCATGTTAGCTCAGGAATTGTGGGAGTTGAAGTCCACAAGTCTTAAACTTGCCAAGTTTGAAGACTCTTGGATCAAAGCTTAGGTTGACCAAAACAGCAGTCACAGAGGAAGTGTAGACAACCTGAGCCAATCCTTCAAGGAGCTAGACAAAGCCTCCAGAAGACATGGCTGTTTCAACCTTTTGAGGGACACTTTACAGGTAGTTCTTGTCTTACAATCATTCACTTAGGGACAGTTTTGAAGTTACAATGGTACAGAAGAAAGTGATTTATGGATAGTGCTTACACTTATGACCGTTGCAGCAAGCCACAATCATGTGATTGTCATTTGTGATCTTCCCAGCCAGCTTCTGAGAAGCAAAATCAATAGGGAAGGTCACAAGTCACAATCACATGTCTCACGTAATGACTGTGGCAAAAAAAAGTCATAAAATTGGCTGCTGTTGCATGACGTCTCATTTAATAACCACACGGCTTACAATGAATTTTCTGGTCTTATTGTGGATGCAGCCGCTGAAAATAAAATTTGAACACCAGATAAGCTTTTACAGTAGGTCAAGCTGGTCCAATATAATAATGGCTTTACAGGTCATAAATAATTGATTGAATTCTCCTGGAGATTCAGATGCCCTTATGATTAGCTTCACACATTAAATTAAGATACTGTAGACCTTCCTTGACTATTGTTTACTCAAACTACCATTGGTTAAGCTGACATGACTTGCCAAGCCATAAATCGGGATCTATAAAGCACAATCGATTTATATGTCACATGAAGCCAAGTCCAAACAATGTTATAACTTTGGATAATCTGCTACCAGATCCACAGCCAACACACAATCTGGGACAAGAATTCAAATTTCATGAATTTGGGGATAATCTCCTATAAGCCATGATGGATCCTGAACCAAAGGCACAAGAAGGAATGACTATACTTTTTCTTTCTCTGATTGCTTTCCCCCCCCCTCTGACAAATACTCTAATCTGATACTCTAATTCTCTTTTATCTTTTCACATCCTTTCCCATACAGAAAGGGATAAGAGATCTGAATTTACTTAAACTTTTTTTCATACACAATTCAACCTCCTCCTATTTTTTTTCACAACAACCTGGTGAGCTGAGCTGAAAGACAGCGACTGGCCCAAAGTCACCCAGCTGGTTTTTCATGCCTGAGGTGGAACTAGAATTCACAGTCAACTGGTGATTTGGCCAAAGCCACCCAGCCAGCTTTCAACCCTAGGGCAGGACTGGAACTCACAGTCTCCTGCATTCTTAACCAATATACCAAACAGTTCTGTTTTTGTTTTTGGCGTTTTTCTTTTTTTTTTAAGCATTTTTTGACCACCAAGAAAACTCTAGACTGCAAACTAGATTGGAAGTCCGAAAAAGTCCATGAGGATTCATTGTCATCGCAGACAGAAATAGTGTAGGGACATAGTCTGAGAGACAGGCCAAAGAAAAATATCAGGAAGAACTCAAAAGGAAGACAGCTAAAGAACAATTATTTGGGAGAATAACGTTTAAGGAAAGGGAGACTACACAAATTGATGTACTTGATTGCTGGGGATTTTTGAAATTAGGTCAACAGCCATAATTTGCAGGTCAGTTTGATATCCAATAACTTAATAATTTTTAATAATTTAATTCTTCTTTTCTTTAGACTAGCCAAATCCAAATCTTGCAGCCATTCTTCATATGTTTTAGTCTCCAGGCCTTTAATCATCTTAGTTGCTCTTCTCTGCACTTTTTCCAAAGTCTCAACATCTTTTTTGTAATGTGGTGACCAAAACTGGCTGCAGGATTCCAAGTGTGGCCTTACTAAGGCTTTATAAAGCGTTACTAATACTTTACGTTATTTCACGTGAATTTTTTTTATTGCTTTCAAATGGGATTTTTTTTTTTTAAGTTTCTTATTTTATGTTTTACAATAATCCCATTCCATTTCAAGCATGTGTCGACTAGGTACATATTTCTTGTGCTTACAATTATAAGTGGGATTATTTTTGACTTTCCAGTCTACCCTGGGATCAACTGGTGGTTTGCCATCCAAAGCTAACACAAACCATCCAAGATCAGCTAAATGCTGCTACCCAGTTGGGCCAGATGCTTAACCGCTTCTGCTTCTTCGGGTACAAGAGAAAGGCTAGGGTGCTTAAAAACAAAATCAGAAGCTTACCTCTCCAAACTCGTAGTAGGTGTCATCTTCCTTTTTCACCTCATGTTCCTTGAGCCATATCAGGGCTTCTGTGTAGTCCATCCGTTTGAAGGGGCGCTTGGGAGGCTCAAAGTTCTGCAATTACAGGTGAAAGATGCATCGGTAAAGATGGCAGGACTTTAAAAACTACAACAGTTGAGTGGTTTAATTGTATTACAGATAGTACTTGACTTGTAACAGTTTATTTCATGACCGTTACAAACAGCCCTGAAAAAAGTGACTTATTTTTCACACTTATGATTGTTGCAGCAACCCCAAGATCATGTGATCAAAATTCAGGTGCTTAGCAACTGACTCATATTTATGATGTGATGACCCGGGGTTTGGCACAAAGGCAACACAGTCATATAATCAGTAGGAGTCCCTTTATTAGCTCCAACTTTGCCCCCAATGTCCTTCCGGGCTGGATTATTTAGATTAGATTAACATATTAACAGAGTTGGAAGGGACATTGGAGGCCATCTAGTCCAACCCTCCCCCCCCACCGCTCAAGCAGGAGACCCTACACCATTTCTGACAAATGGCAGTCCAATCTCGTCTTGAAAGCCTCCAGTGAAGAAGCTCCCACAACTTCCAAAGGCAAAGCTGTTTTATTTTACAGAGAGATTTGGTTCTGCAACAGGAAAACTTGCATATATATTTTTTGTCTCAGCCACTTACCGGATTGAGGGCATACACTATATCAGACACTGGGGATTTGAGGACCCTATCCACCACATCACAGACGAGATCCTCCAGACGGTTCAGCAGGTCTTCATAGCTCATGAAAGGGCACTCCGCTTCAATGTGAGTATATCTGGAAGAAGAAACCAGTGACTTCACACACACATAAGGCTGGGAACTACCATGCAATTCCTTATCCCCTCTAGATACAACCCTGACCACTGAATGCACCTTTACAAGCACATCTGGAGAAATTACTCCACTCAGGTTTGGACTGGATTATGTGTCCGCACACATCAGTTAACCATTTTTGGGAAAGTGGCAGAATGAAAGGATGGGAGGAAGAAGGATCTTTCTTTCTTTCTTTCTTCTTTCCTTTCTTTCTTTCTTTCTTTCT